GACTCGAGTATAAGCCGAGGCGGCTTTTTTCATCTCAAAAAGTGGGCTGAAAAACTAGGCTTATACTTGAGTATATACAGTAGATGAATTTTCACGAGAAAGAAAAATATTTTTCATATTGGAGACATAGCAAAATAAGCAATTTATAATAGCATTTAGAGACGTTGAAAAATGGTAATGGGGTTTTGAATCAAATCCAATTGATCACTGGGATTGATCAAATCCCAAATGTCAGTTATGTTGTGTGTTTTTATGATACCCTGTTCTAAGAAGATATTACATGAGAATATGATGAACAGAAAAAGATTTCCAACATATTTGACATGATTATGGAGAACAATGTGAAGAAGAATTTATCCCTGGATTAAAAAAAACAACAAATGAACTCTATAAATTAAGAAGGAAATTAAAAGAGAATAATTGGAATAATTTCTTCCTGCTCAATTTATCAAAGAAGCTTGTCAAAGTTTTGAAGAAATTTGAGGCAAGGGATAATGAACATTCATATTAAAGAATAAGGTTGTTTTATGTAGAGAAAGGAACATAAAGTTGTCTTATTTGATAGGGTTAAAATGGTATAGGTTGTTATTTTGGGAGATTCTTTCTGGACTTGCTGATATCTAGACAGGAAAAATGTATTGGATTTATTTATAGTTAAGAGTTGCGATACAGAATGATGAGTTTTATATTTATTAACAAGTGTAATTATAATTTTAGGGCTCTGTTTGAACTTTTGCTGACACCTGGATTAAAAAGACTTTATTTATTGAACCTGCCTATAGGTAAGTGTTGGGATGAAGAGTTTTATATCTGTTAACTAACAGATAACATGAAGAGATAGTGAAATTGTTTATATTTGTTGAGATAAGGGTAGAAAATTGCTTCCATTAGTTTCCTTTATCTTTCAATTGTCTCTTTCTTCTATCTTGCACCTTTCTATTTCAAATTTGTATTATAACTTATTGTTGTAGTTAACATGTTTAATAAAAATATTTTTTAAAAGATGACTATTTCACAGTTCCAGCCTTCTCAACCTTTATAATGCTCAACTATTCATATTATTTCAATACATAAATTAACATAATTTTAAAAATATCAACAGAAAGAGAGAGAAAAGTAAATAAATAAACACTTGTAAGTTTAGGGTAGATCTATTTAAAAAATTGGCACACTGATTTTACTTAGCCCAGGAGAATTTCAGTTATAAGTGAGTCACATGAATATTTTTCATCAAGTGAGCTAATATAGTGAATAATAAATAATAGGGGGAAAAAGCTGAATTTTACACTGACAAATTATGGAAGATTCTTTGATATTGACAAACACATTTGAAATGTATGTTTCTGTCCTGTTTCTACTATATAGAATTATGTTTTCCACGCATAATTCCAAATTACAAATTCTCTCTCACCTACTCTCACTTACTTTATCAAGTATATGGATTACTATCTTATACTAATTAGATAACTAGATAGTACCTAATATTTTCTTCTATCAGGTTTTTGTTTCAATAATTGCATATTTATTTAGTATGACATTTTTGCATTATACATTTTAAAGGTGATCACTGATTACAAGCTCTATAGAAAAGATCAATTTTCTCCTTTATCACTACCAGGGCGTCTCCTTTAACTCAGCACTAATAAGTTGACAACACTGTAATACTTGCAGTAGAATGAAAAGCTTGATGAAATGGGGAAATGGAGAAAACATATTTGATTCATTTTCCTAATGGTGGCTTAATGACAATCATAAACACATGGAGCTAACAAGATTGTATTACAAGCAGTAACATACAGAGAAAGAAAATCTAAAGAGGGAAAAAAGTTAAATAAAATCTGCACAAAGCTTTGTTTTTACGTATTTGTAGAAT